AGAGATAGTACCAAAGACCCTTTCTTCTGATTCCAAACCCTGTGCTTCTTGGTTTTCTTTGCAAACCTCATGGGCACACAGCTTTAGCTGCTGACTTCTCTCCACGTCCCCTCTGATGTTCCATATGAGGAGCTGAGCAGGGTTATTACAAATTAAATATGTGGATGCTTGAACTGATGAACAGGAAATGAGGCTGCTAATGCTCAGAGGAATGAGATTGAGATGCATTTTTTTAAAGTAGAATTTTGGGCCAAGTGGCCTCCTTCTGTCCTGCCCTTCCCTGTGTCCTTCCAGTCTCCATGGAAACCCTAAATCAATGCAGCATATGTTGATTCATGTTTCTACTGTTACTAGGAAGCTACGAAGTGGAAATTGCTTTTAAAAGAGTTATGGAAGAGCTTTAGCATGCTGACCAGAATTCAAATCTAATATCCAAATGACTGTTTTATTAAAAGCTTTAAATGTGGTATTATCCTAGGTGATATGTTGATTAGATAAACACACAGAGGCATTTGGCAATAAACCTCCCCCTCCACTCTCATGGCTTTTAAAAATATTACATTGCAGATTTAAACTCCCTTTATCTCCAATTTAATTACATTCTCATGGCCTGTGTGGCATTGCCAGGTGCTCCTTTTGCTCTTGATTAATTCCACTCTGCCCTGACCAGGCTGTGGGGTTACTTTGCAAATGCCTTATGTACCTGTGCAGCGGACCCTGAGCGTCATTAGCATTCTGTTGACTGCAGTCTTGACCAGGAGGCTGCAGAAGTCTAACATGTTTCTGCCATAAGGAATCCTCGGTGATTTTTCAGATTTTTTTTTTATGAACTCAAAATCAAGTTTAGCCGACATTTACTCAACACCTGCTCTCTGCGAGGCAATGAGAAGTAATAGTAAGGGGAGTAAGTAAAAGAGTCTGTCTTTTTGGAGCACAGAGTCAGTTGAGGGGATCAGAAAATATAAATCTCAAGAATAAACTGTGCCTGTGATGTGAGCTGTCAGACAACCTTACGGCAAGGCGGTGCTATTGGGATGGAGGGGGTTCCTTCTGATGGGGAGAATTCTGAAAACGGTTTGGAACAGAGAATTTTTAGCTTGAGGTAATGGGTTTAGGGAAGAAACTGGGAGTTAACAGGCAGATCAAGGGTAGGGACATTCCGGGCAGAAGGGACAGCAGAGGAATCAGGCATGTGTGTGGGATAGAAAACTGGGGATAGGCAAATGGGACAAACTCATTGTCAGGCAGAACAAGAAGCTGCAATGGAGCCCATCAAAGATGACCGCACAGATGATCCACTTTACGGTGTCTGCTCAGTGGGACTCCGGCGGTAGCGTAGCATGCAAGAAGGTTTGTGGGCAGGCAGAGAGAGAAACGAGGGCAGGGAGATGAGTTACTTAAGAGGGGGTAGGGGGCTGTGCAGGCACTGGGGGCTGAATAACCTCTCACATGGCAGCATCAATGTATGGGAGGGAATGAAGTCGAGAAATATTTCGTAAATATGACAAGATTTAAAAACCAATTTAGGAAGGCAAATGGAGAAAAAGAAACCAGAAATGTCTGTACTTGTTTGGGTTAGGGTTAGGGTCCCTTGTGGGACTTGGGCAGGGTGACGTCACAAGCAAACACTGGGAGCCCAGCAGGAATGGAGGATGGGGGAAGGTGGTGGTTTAGAGACAGCACAGCGTGCAGGGTCTGAGATACGAGGAGCTGTCCAGCAAACTTCTGGGAAAGCAGCCTGGAGCTGAAGAGGCAAGATTGAAGCTCTGATTCTGGAGGAGTGGTGGATGCCTGGAGAGGGCAGGGCCTCCCAAGGGGAATGAGCATAGACTGGGAAGTGCAGAGACTGGCAGGACAGCCTGGAGGCAGGAGCCGGGCTTCCAATCACTGTCTTCCCATAAGAAATGTGAGTTGTGGTCAGTTGAGATGTCCTGTGCCAAGTCTTCAGCTAGCAAGTCAGGAGCAGTAGCCGGAAAAGAACCCAGAGTTCTAAGCCTGGGGAATGCAGAGCCCAAGGAGATGCAATACTTTCTGACGAGCACGTAACCCTGCTTGCCTTCTCTGTTTATTTATTCCAGGAAAGAAGACAATGCTAGAACGCTTTAGATCGAGCTTAATTCTCCTCTCTGAAATTATGCACTGGCCTCTTTGGGAGATTATGCTGGTGTTTTCTTGTGAGAGGGGCGTGTGCTAGGTCTGTGCTTCTCAAACTGCGGTGCTTTGTGATTACTCCTTGGTGTTTAGGAGTGTTTTGGTTAGGAAAAAAAAAAGCCTGGACTAGTTTTAATTTTCTGTTTCCTCATGTTATTCATGTCCGTGCACCCTTGTCCTTCTGCTCTTCATATTCCTGTTCTTGCTTTTACATTTTTCTTGTTTAGTATGGCTCTTCTTAAACATTGGACTTACTGACTTCCTGTGACCGTATTATTTCTCCAAAGGCTAATTGAAGTTCTGATGCCTGGTTAATATTGATTAGTTTCCACTTACAACTCAGGCCCATTTGCAGTCCTGCTCTCTTTCCTCGGGGCCTTTACCCCCTGGATACTGGCCTGGGCAGCATGAAACTTGGAGGAGGCCTTTGTTGCACTGTTTCAGGGCTGGTGGGAGGCGTCCAATGATGGCATTACCTTTGTGTTGAAGTGAGGAGCATAGCAGAGGCTGGAAGCGTCAGGTCTGGTACCAGGTACCAGGTCTGCCACTTTTCAATGACCTGTCTCTATTTCTCCATCTGTAAAGGCAGGGGGTGGGGGGTGATACAGGTGTTGGCTTTGTACATTTGTTCTGAAAATTAAATAGATGACTCAAATGCAATGTTTGGCATCATACCTGGCACATACTAACTGCTCATTAAACATGAGCTATGTGGATTCACCTTATTCTGTAAACATATCTTGAATCAGGGGACCACTTATCAATGGGCTTTTATTCACCAGTATATCTGTGTACCAGTTTTTTGATGGTGCAATGTACCAAGAAAATGTCCAGAAATGAAGGGTTCTCTTTCTGCTGAAGTTCTAAACCCCAGTTAGCAACAGGGTTCAAGAAAGGGGTAATGAGAAATGAGAAACTTTTCTTTTGCTTCTCATTTTATAACACAAAGTTCCCTTCCTTTAATAGAGGGGCGCCGTGGACGTTATCAGAAAGAGGCAGTGAGTCATTGTGGAGGCAGCATCAGAATTTTTATTTCATCTTATCATCAGGCAATGAGTAGTTGCAGCAGAATCATTTCACTGAGAGAATTCAGGTTATGCACCAGCAGATCTGCCAGAAAGACGGGGTCCTGGTGTGGTGTAGTAGAAAGAGCTCCGCTGTTAGAGTCACGAGACTCACATTCTGGTCCTTGTGCCTCCTCTGGCATGTTGTGTCCCTTTGATAAAGGTACATCACCTTGTCTAGCCTCAGCATTTTTCATCTGAGGGTAATAACACCCTCTCTGACGATGGCACAGGACTGTTGAGTGACAATATATGAAAATGCTTTATATATTTAAAAAGGGTTAACAAATGGAATCCATTTCCATTATTATAAAGCCATCACTTTCTGTTGAGGTTTCTGCTGCCTTTGGGGTTTCAGAAGTGACTTGCAGCAAAGGCTATGTGTCTTTGGAGCTAGTTCCTGAGTGGGAGTGTAGACTCAGCCTTAGGGACGTAGAGCATAGCAAGAAGGCGAGCTTTCTCCCAGGGCAGCAGTTTGCAAACTTTAGCATGCATCAGAGTCACCTGGAAGCCTGATTACCGTCCCCAGAGTTCCTGATTCTGTAGGTCTGGGGGTGGGGCCTGAACATTTGCATTTCGGATGCTTCTCAGGTGATGCTGACGCTGCTGGTCCAGGGACCACGCTTGGAGAACCACTACACTAGGGCAAGCAGGAAGAGAGTCCTCCTGGACTGAAGCAGGCAGTGTGAAGACCCATGTGGGTAAGGCGGTTTGGAAGAAAAAAATGGAAAAGACGGAAGAATAGGGATATTGTGCAGATTTGGTGGAACAAAGGGAAAAGTCTCACTCCATAACAAATGCAAGTAGGGGGAAGTTGCTAGGTGATGGATGAGGGAGAGAGGTGAGTTTCTACTGTAGGAAAAACCAGGTGAGAGGCAGAAGCATAGAGTTGGAAATATGCATGTTTGGGAAGGCAGAGGAGGTGGAAATTTCTCATTAAGAAGTGGGGAGTGGTGTGGTTGGCACCGGTTAGGGTGGGAGTGGAGACGAACTGGGGGAGAAATGCCTCTGTAGAGTAGGGGGCACAGCTGAGATGTGGCAGAGGGCTAATTTCAGGGCTGTGTGGTTTGGCTTGGAAGTGCGGCACAATAGAAATTGGGAGAAAGGGGGTGGAATTTAGATGTGTGACCTGCCCCATAGCTTTCTTGCTCTCTGCATTTATCACATCACATCACACCCAGCAAGACAGCCCCCCTCCTCCTGGCTCATTAGGAGATTTGATTTGGAGTGGCTCCTGCTGTCAGCAGCTGTCTGGGGCAAGATCTTTACACTCCCCACTCCCGGTGCAGCAGCCAACCTTCAACCAGCAGCGGGGCTCATTAGAAGAGGGCTCCCTGGACACTTGATTTTTCAGCTCACTGGTGACTGGAAAGAGTTAATACCTATTCTTTGCTGGCCCTCGCACAGCCTCTGGGCGCAGAGGGAGGCAGCTGTGGGCTGTGGGGACTTCTCCCTGAGCTGCGGCCAGAGGAGCTTCAGGTTAGCGAGGCTGGTCTCGGCTCAGGGGCACCTCCTGCATCCTGCCAATGAGGATGGGTGTGCAGACTGTGCCCGGGAGCTGAGCTGCCGCCCGCTGGGTGTAGGCTGCTTCAGTATTTACTGGATGTGACAAGCAGAGAGAAGAGCTTTCAGCCGGGCTGCTTGCTGCCTGGCTCAAGTGGTGGGAGGTGTGTTGTGCATGGCTGTGTGTGTATATATGTGTATGTGCGCCTATGTGTTTATGCACACATGCCCTTCACTTGCCGAGGATTTGACCGCTAAATGAAAGATCTACTTTTTCCCCAGAGCGCCTTAACCCGCAGCCTCTCTGACCATCCAGTTGGCAAAGACCCGCAGGCCATGAGGACTGGCCAAAGACAGTGAGTATTGCCTTTGCTTTTCTCTTTCCTCTCCAGGGTGTCTGCGCACCGATTGCATTATCCATATTTAATTAACTTGCCTCTTCATGCATATTGATTGCTTTCTTCACGCTGAGGCTCTAGTTTCTCTCCCCCTCTTTGTAAATCTTTGCTCTTTGCTTTTAACCTTTGTTTTTTCCCTGAGTATCCTCTCTTCCCATCATGTCTCATCCCGTCTGCCACGACGCACCTGTGACTTGATGCCCACCTATGAGGGCGTGTGCACTATGGGGGCAATCACACCCTTGAACCTCCTGGGCCTTCCTGGGTAACTTCTGACTCTCCTAAGTCCAGGGCCAAATGGGATAAAAGCCCTGCTGGGATGGACAAGGCAGCTGGGTCAGAGTGTCCTGCTGATTCTTACTTAGTGGCGCTTGTGGCTGAGTGCACAAAATGGGTAGTGGAGGGTCTGAGCAGCAATTTGGGCAGTGCTGGATCCGAAGGACAGAGAGAGGCATCTGAACAGCCTGGGCAAGCCAGTGTGTGCTGGCCGTGGGATGGGAAGAGAGACAAGGCGGGGACAGAAGGCTGGGGGATTCCCTGCCCCACATGACCTTGCCTGCGACGTAGGTGGGTTTGTCTCTTGTTCCATTTGGCTCTAGGATAATAAAGGTCCCTGCATGGGTTTCCCCTTCCCCTGGGGCCATATCCCACAGCAAGAGGCCTAGGTGCCTCAAACATGACATCTAGGGACCGTCACAGCTGCAAAGGCTTTGATTTCCTGACTTCTGGGCAAGCAGGTGTAAGCCCGGTTAGGAGAAAGATTAAAGAGGTGTCCCTGTGATGATGGGTCTTTCCACACAGTCTCACCAATTGTTTTTTTCTAGTTTTAACAAAGCGATCTTTTAATTTTATTAATTATAGTATTACTAAAGAAGCTTGTTTTAAAAAGCACTTGTGAAATGTCCAAGGTAATATAAAAATGATTTAAATGGTGTAGCTCACATAGGAGTCGTATCTATCTAAATTAGGTTTCCTTTAAAGTGGATTCTATGTTTGGTGTCAGAGTTCCCCAGGGGAGCCCTTTATGGATAGGCAGCTCTCCTCACGTGTTTCTTCCTATCAGAGTTCTTCTGTGGGAACAAAGGGTTTGAAGCACTGAGAATGGAACCCTCAGGAGAGGAAGACAATAAGTCAGTCAGTCAGCTTTCAACCTCCATGACCCCTTTTCCCCCACACTCATGTCCTTCCTGCTCCGTGGCAAGAATAGGCCAGTCCCCAGGCTGAGGAAGGTCATGTAGGCTCCATATGTGCAAGAAAGGGTGACTTGCATATTCATTTCTTCAGCCTGCACCTGTGATCCCTGCAGAGGAGCAAGCCTGTGTGGTGACGGTGCCTGACAAGCCTCTCTTGGAGTTCCTCCAACCTCCCTCCCACTCCCACCTTCCTCAGTCTCCACGCACTCCCACCTGGGACAGTGCCCTCGGAGGGAGGCGAGAATCAGAGCGGCATCCAATCAGATTATTTTGGAGCAAGTACTGCCCCCCACAATCCCGCTGGCCAGTCACTTGGGCCCCACTTTAGTAAGAGAAAGAGAACAGTAAATTTTGGTTTGCTAGACCCACACCTCCCCTGAGGCACATGTCCCACTTTATTTTTGATGGCCAGTGGTTGGGGAATCTGGAACTCCTAACCAACAATCACCAACACGAAGCCACCAACAGTCTGTTCTTGTCCATTGTTGGTTTGTCATTCCTGCTAAGGACAAGTGGACATTGTGGGTCCTGGTGGGGGATGTGTGGGGAGGTGTCCGTTGGCCGAAAGCCCTCTGAGAGGATGTGTAGTGCAGTCAGATGAGAGAGGTTGGCCCCTCTTACAGAAGATTCTTTGATTTTAGGTGAGAGGACGTGCAAGGGTCAATTCCTGAGCCCCGCAGTCTTATTTCCTGCCCTGACGTCCCTGCAAACCAGCCCAAGGGTTAACCGTAAGCGGATGCCTGTATGGCGGCCTTACTGATGCCACGCAGGTAATGAAATCCATGGCCTGTTTTCTTGCCCTTGACCCTTTCCTCTTTTCTCCACCTTCTCACCCCCTTTGCTATTTGAGCCTGGCCCAAGCCTTCTGAGTCCATGGGTGGTCCACTTGCATCTCTCCCCGTAGGCCTGTGTGAACTGCACGGTTCTTGTCTGTGTGCCTCTTGCAAAGCTGTGGTCTTACAAGCAGGACCTGCCTTAGCTGAAGCCCTCCCATCGGCCAGTGGGACATCTTGGCAGTGACTTACGCGGTGGGATGAGGGACTATGCATGAGTTTGTATGGAACCATTTAGGGATATCTGTGAGTTACTGGGATAGCGGCTGTAGAAAGGAGGCAGAGGAGGGAAAGCCTCATTATTCTTTTAAATATCCTTAACCTTTGACTCTTACTTCTGCCCTCATTATTTCAGACTTAAGAAGATTATCATTGAGGTCTTAGCTAGGAAGAAGAAAAATAAAAATCATTTTGTCCCAAAGAATATTTTGTGGGAATCACAGTTGTCTTGGTGACAATTAGCAACCATTACACTGGCCCCTGCTAAACCTTGTTAAATGGCTTGTGTGGATTTGTCATTTTTTGAAAGTCCTCTTGATTGCTCTTGGAGGGCAGTGACCTGAGTGTTTTATGACTGATGATCCTGAGGCATGAGGAATGAAGCAACTCACTGAAAGTTGGGCTCTGGTCTGTGGGGTAGCCTGAGCAGGACCTTTACTTGAATTCATGGAATGGGATGACTCGAGTCCTTAATCAGCTGCTCACATGGCCTGCCATCAGGCACCCTGCAATTTGCAAGCGAGAGTGGACACATAAGACGCCCACTGTCTCAGAAGAAAGCACAGCAGTAGTCAGTGTCTGGAAAATGCGGTGAAACGCATGGCTTCACATTGCGGCCTGGCTGAGATTCAAGGTGGGAGCAGTGGACATGCAGCCCAGTTTTTTGTAGGAGAGAGGATATTTCTGGGAACTTGGATGTTCCAGCCCTAAGAGGCTCTTCAGAGACATGCTGTGGAATACAAATGCTGTCCATCCCTGCCAAGTATAATACCATCCCAGCAGACATTTCTTGGATAAGATTTCTGTGAGCAAAGACAATTACCGGGAATGAAAATCCATTCGAAGTAAAAGAGATCGAATTGGATGATCCCTAAGGTCTCTTCCCACCCCTAGGAAAAAGAGGAAAGAAAGCCAGGCCAGAAGGACCCCTTTCAACATGCAGAATGGCCTCTTCTAGGACTCTTTCTGTGGCAAACTGTTGCGAACGTGCAAGCAGCAGTTCCCTTTCTAAGTCACTCTCAAGTCCTGATTTGATTATACTAAACCCATCCCACTTACCTTTGCCCTCAATACAAAAAGTTGTCATAGTTAAAGGTCAGGGGTCAGCGAACTTACTCTGTCAAGGGCTAGAGAATAAATATTTTCCGGTTTTGGGACCATATGGTCCGTGTTGCAACTACCCAACTCTGCCCTAGTAGTTGAAAGAGCGTTAGACAATTGTAAACAGATGGTGGTGTTGTGTTTCAGTAAAGTTTTATTTACATACACGGGTACATTTTAGGACTATAGTTTGCCAACCTCCGATTAGAGGTTAACAGAGGCTACCTGGGCATAGGTGGCTTGGGCCTGTAATCCCAGCTACTCAGGAGGTTGAGGCATGAAGATTACCTGAGGCCGGGAGTTTGAGACCAGCCTGTGGAATATAGCAAGACCTTGTCTCTAAACAAAAAAATTAAACATATAAAAAATGTAAAGTGGTAAACAGAGGCTAATGTTGGCAGTCAGAAAGAGAGATTAGAGTAACTTCTCATTGGCTCTGTTACCAGAGATAACTGTTTAAGTGCCTGCTGTCATTACATGGGTCCTTTGGAAAATAAAACACATGAGAAATATAAACGTACATGGTAAAAATTTAATTATGCCTGTTGAGATAAGCCAAAATGTAGATAGGAATACACAGGCTTAGTCGGGCAAGCATGAGAACTGATGCTGATTGTACCAATCACTCTTCTCCTTCCCTGCAGGCACCAATCCTATGGGTTGACTGTAGCTAGATTTGTGGGATGAGTGGAGAGAACCTGAGCTGGAATTGACCTGCCTGGAGGCCCCCTACTTTGTGCTCTAAGACTCTGATATGTGCCCTGCACCCTGCAAACATCCTCTGCTCCTGGTGTGGGTACTTCTGGGTCTCTGCAATCAGGAGCTGCTGCTGCTGCTGTTACTTTGTCCTCCTTGTGGAAAAGCAAAATGTGGATTGTTATTTTGTTATCACTGTATTTTTTTTTTTCCCTACAGAGAATCCTAATTTAGAAATTCTTCCAAGCTAATGACCTTCATTGACTTACCATCAACTTGCCATGTCAGCTTTAAAAAGCATTAAGCCTCTAGGGGGTCGGGTAGGGTACCTGTGACTGTTCAGGTAGTTACTGATTCTCTAGGTGTTCTCTTCCTGTACATGAAGGCTTCAGAGACCACCTGGGGACGGGTGGGGGCAGTGCTGGCTCCTGTAGCAGCAGCTCCAGGGGCCCTGTATATAGCTGACAGCTGTGATCATGAGAGTTTCCCCATCCTTCTGCCCCTGTGCTTGTTGCAGGAACAAAGGGATGAGGACTCGACTGGGATGCCTGTCTCACAAGTCAGACTCGTGTAGTGATTTCACAGCTATTCTTCCAGACAAACCCAACCGCGCTCTCAAGTGAGTAGTATGGCCACGTGCCATTCCCTGGGTAATGTTACAAGTTATATAGCTCACTTCTTTAGTGAGTTGCTGACCACATGAGCCACAAAAAAATTCCTGTCTCTTGGCAGCTCCTTTTATATCCCTGGATGTGAGTGAAAGGAATGTTTATTTTCCTTTTCGGAATGTATAGCTTAGTGATCTAAGAATGGGAATCCTCTTTTTCTTCCTAAGAAAGCCATATCATCCATCACTCACAACACTGTGGGTGGTAAAGGATACTTCTTGGTGCTACTTAGTTGTCAATCTGAGCTCTCAATTTGGAAATAAATGTTCAAACATACTCTAAAAATATGCTTAGATTCAAGTAACCTGAATTCAGAACCTCTTCTGCTGGTGCTGTTTTAAATGTCATTGATGTTACCTTGTGTAACCTTCACGAAACTATGCAGTGGCCATTATTATCCCCATTTCAGAAGTGCAGAAATTTAGGTGACAGAAAGAGATGGAGTCGGGAGCTGAAGCTAACTTTTCTGACTCTAAGACCAGTTTCTTTCCATTGTTACCTCGACACCTTTAAATCATGTACTTACTTAGCTTTGTTCTTTAGACTAAAAGCCAACAGACAGAACTCACTGAATTCCAGCCCTGAGTTTTTTTTTTCTCATCAATTACTTAAGAATGCACAAATTTACGGTGACAGAATTGCAGGAATCTGGGCATAGTCTTCATCTACTACCCCCACCCCCACATCGTTCCAATTTGTTTTCCTGAGCAAATCTTAGTGGCTGTTAAGGGCAAAGAGGTTATTTCAGAAACACTCAAGAGAGACGTTTCTTTTTTTCTAGGAGATTATCCACAGAAGAAGCTACGAGGTGGGCAGATTCCTTTGATGTGCTTCTCTCTCATAAGTGTAAGTAGAATTCAGGTCACATCATGACATGGTAAATCATCCATTTAGTGAGAGATGTACCAAAGGCCTGTGATGAGCCAGGTGTGTACTAGGTGTTCCAGACCTCTGTGGGCCCTGCTCTCACAGAGCCTCCTGCCTAGAGGAACATTCAGAAAAGAAAATGAATGATTTAAATGCAGTGAGACGAGGGCCTTCTTTTCTCTTTTCTGGGTTCAAAGAATGATCCCAAGAAGCCTTTGTTTTCTTAGCAGTTTTAGCAAGAGAGAGTTTAGCTTAGGGGTTTGGAATGATGGGCTAACTTGGGAATGCGAGATCTTATTTATAGAACTGAATGGCCTCCCCCCAAATTATGGGAGAGTCGGGCTATGCGTCAGTCAAATGAACATTTTGTGCATTTTATTGTTCACTTGAGTTGACAGTTTTTGAGTTTTACTGTTGCTTTTTGTTTTGAGGGTTTACTATCCCAGCTGCATTTTACTCCTCACTTTCTTACTGAGTATAAGTTTTACTGGAACACAACTTCTGCTATCCTTCCTGTTCCATTTTTCCCTTCCTCCTCTGTAATGCCTTCTGTTTCCCACAAAGGCAGACATAGTTGTGCATATTGCAGTGTGGAGAGGGCAATTTGATGTCAGCCAGACTTTTCATCTCTTGCTTTTTCTCATTATGTGCAAGTTCAAATTCACTAGGCTTAGAAACCAGTGACATTTATCACCTGGGCATGGCAGAGCAGGGGTGAGGAAGAGAGAGGATTTTGTAAAGAGAAAGACTTCAGACAGACATTTCGTGCCCCTCTGAAATATGTCACAGTGATATTAGAAGCCCTCGCTGATCTGGGAACAGAAGGGCTGTTTTAGTTTGGAGTAGTGTTTCCCCTTAGTTGGAGAAAATGGTTTGGTACAATTAAATTAAAGGCATTGGGTGGGAGTCAGACCTGTGTTGTTGATTTTGACTCAGTGTTGTTAGTAAGTGGTTGAGTGGTCTTCACAGAAATCTCAGTCTTCAGATGTCTTTAGAAGTGATTTTGCTTTCAATTTGCTGGATGGCTCCCTCCAACTATGCTGCTGATCCAGATAAACTGATTAATAAATACGTTTGAGTAGATTTTAAAATTAAATGCAAAATCTGAGAATAAGTACATATTGCAGCAAGTAATTTTGTGAGACAAATAGTCATTTTAGTATTCTGTGGATTACACTTAGGAAGGAAGGACAGCATTGATTTAGTGTATGTAACATATGGCTATGCCCCAAACAGCAAGCTTATGTGATGAATTTGCCAAGGTAATGGCAAATGTGTAATAATATTTAGGATTTTCAGTAATGCTATTTTTTTTTGTGAGGCCATTCTGACTTCTTTTCTGGAGTGGCATTAAGCTAACCAAGTGTCACTATCAGTTTACACCTTATTTTCTGGCTGTATTTCTTTTTTTTTGAGACAGAGTTTCGCTCTTGTTACACAGGCTGGAGTGCAATGGCGTGATCTCGGCTCACCGCAACCTCTGCCCCCTGGGTTCAGGCAATTCTCCTGCCTCAGCCTCCTGAGTAGCTGGGATTACAGGCACGCGCCACCATGCCCAGCTAATTTTTTGTAATTTTTAGTAGAGACGGGGTTTCACCATGTTGACCAGGATGGTCTCGATCTGTTGACCTCGTGATCCACCCGCCTCAACCTTCCAAAGTGCTGGGATTACAGGCTTGAGCCACTGCGCCCGGCCTCTGGCTGTATTTCATTCAAGGTCATCTTGAAATTTGGTTTCTATTTTAGCCTCACAACTGACTCACTTAGTTCAAATCCCTGAGGCTGTTTCCTCATTCTAAAATGAGGATGGAAATGCTTGCTACCTGTCAACCGAATATGAGAAATTTACTAAGAGGACACCTTATCAAACACCGCATGTTCGCACTCATAGGCGGGTGTTGAACAATGAGAACACATGGACACAGGGAGGGGAGCATCACACACTGGGGTCTGTTGGAGGCTGCCAAGGGAGGGACAGAGGGGTCGAGGGGGTCGGGGAGGGATAACATGGAGAGAAATGCCAGATGTAGGTGACGGGAGGATGGAGGCAGCAAACCACATTGCCTTGTGTGTACCTATGCAGCAATCCTACATGATTAGCACATGTACCCAAGAACCTAAGGTACAATTAAAAAAAAAAAAAGAGGACACCTTTAGTTGATTTCAGGTTCTCTACTTAAAGGTATTTTGTAAGGATATGGTGGGGTTTTTTTTTTAAATGATACTTTTATTTATCAAATGCAAAATAAATGTGCCTTGAGAATAAGATTTCAAATTTTGCTATCAATTGTTAATATTAAGTCATTACGGCCGTAGTTATGGTGGTGAAACTAGTGATTGGAGGCGCAGGGTTAGATTGCTGTAGTAGAGGCTGAACTTTATTTGTCTGATTTGATGACTTTTAGATCAGAAGACGCTGGGTTCTGCTTCTGTCAGGAATGCTTTTGGTTTTCAGGAGTGCAATGAAGCTTTTCTGAGATGGGGACTCTGATAAGGTGTTTTAAGCTGACAGGTGCAGTGACTCACACCTATAATGCCAGCACTTTGAGAGGCTGAGGGAGGAGGATCACTTGAGGCCAGGGGTTCAAGGCCAGCCTGGGCAACAAGCAAGACCCGACCTCTAAAAAATAATAGTCATAACAAATTATCTGGGTGTGGTGGCATGTGCCTGTAGTCCCAGCTACCTAGGAGGCTGAGATGGGAAGACCGCTTGAGGTTAGGAGTCCAGGACCAGCTTGGGAAACATAGTGAGACCCTGTCTCTACTAAAATAAAACATTAGTTAAGTGTGATGGTGAATGCCTGCAGTCTAGCTACTCGGGAGGCTGAGGCAGGAGGATTGCTAAAGGAGGTCAAGGCTGCCGAGATCAATGATCACACCACTGTACTCCAGCCTGGGTGACAGTGAGACCCTGCTTCTTAAGAAACAAAACAACAAGCTGACACCAGATTGCTTCTTTGTAAAACTACTGCAGAAATAGGCTTTTTGAGCTTTGGAGTTTTATGATCCTTCTTGGAGTCCGATGTTCTGTTTATACTTCTGTATAGTATACAAGTAAAAAGCCAATGGAGTAAATGTCTTTGAAAAGAAAGGGGTCTTTATTCAGGAGTCACTGGTAGAATTTCAAGCTTTTAGAATTTGAACATGTACCCCCCTGTGAAACCTATGGAGTAGTCAGCCCAGGTTATCTTGAAGGATGTTGACAACTTCCTGAAAGTCTAATTAATTTGGGTTGGTATTGTGACTCAATTAGGGCTGATTAAGCTTTTCCAAAGGGATTGCACGTGTGCCGGTCTCTTAGGAGGGACAGCGTTGATCAGAGGTTTGCGGAGCTTGCAATTAAGACAACAACATGTCTTAAGAAGTGAAGAGTGAAGAATCCCTGAATGACTGATCGCCAAAAAAAAAAAAAGTCCATGAATCTAGAACCCACTCCCTGGTAATTTTGTACATGTAGGCAGCTGTCTCCCCTAAGTTTTCTATTTTGGAAAATACAGATGATTATTCCCCCATCCCCCATCCTCAATCTACAGAGCATCTTTGCCATCCGTGTTCTGTTGGATGTTTTGGGCACTCATTTATGTTTAAAAAGATGTACTGAGTGTTCATTTTGTGCAAAATCTATGGTAAGCAGCTGGACGAGGGGAAGCACAAAGATGAACAAGGCACAGTCCATCCCTGGTGGAGAATGCAGCCTCTGAGCGAATGGGCACGCATACCAATAACGCAGGAAACAATGCAGTGTGCTGACTACATGCTGGGTTGCCTCGAGATTCCAAATAGAATCCTGACATAAGTGCTCTTCTTCAATTCCGTCTTGTCAATATTAGAAGACCTAACTGATCTGTGGGCAGAGGCTGCTTTTGGTTTACAGCATGGTTTCCACTTAATCGGGGAACATGCTTTTGGACAATTAAGGGAAGAGCATTGTCTGGTAGTCAGATCTGTGTTCCCGATTTTGACCCAGCTCTGTTACTGGATAGCTGGATGATGGGGATGGAGTCTCTCAGGCTCCTAGAAGATCTGTTTCCTCAATTATACAATGAAGGATCTGGAGTAGGAGGAGGTGTCAAAAGCTGGATCCAGGATGTGTCTATAGCAAACAGAGAGGCTGGGCAATAATCAGTCACCTTCAGCAGGTGGTTTGACTCAGCACTGCCTGCAGGGTTATGTAAAATACTGCTTCAGAGCTGAAATGGCTCCAGCCACCAGAAGAGGGGCTATGGTGTCTGTGTTAAAAAGCTTCTCCCCTCCTTGGCTGAGCTCCTCATGGGCTGAAACCTCAAGCAAAAATAAAGCAACTTTGCTATTTTTTCAACCTTAGAATTTATAAAATCAGGAGGGCAAATATTTGGAGCTGTTTTATTTCCAAATAATTTGTACTTCCAGTATAAAATAGAAGAAGCCCTTTTGGAGGTCTGAACCACTAGCTAAGTGCTCTTTAAAAACAAACAAACAAACAAACAAACAAACAAATAACAACTAACAATGAAATAGAAATTGCCGATGGCTTCACTCAATAGGGAAGGATTTCTAATGTGCATTAATTTGGCATCTTTTTCCTGTTCACCAGTAACAATTAGGCTCCATGTCTGTGAGCTGTGCATGTAGTCTGTTCCCAAGACAGTGTGTGTGAGAGAGAGTGTGCACATTCAGGTGACTTTCCGATCTGCAGCTCATATCCAAGAAAGCAAAGATCCCTGGTTGATGGAAGATCTTTTCTGATAGGTCACTGAGAAACAGGCACAAAATGGTGTATATTCATCTTTATTCCTTGTGAGGTTCATGTGAACATTTTTTATTTGTTCAGCTTTTAGTGGGACATTAAGTCCTGAACTCTGAGTTGGTGCTCCCTTCCTCCCCTTCACTCTCTCTTTTTCTTTCCTTCTTCCCTCCCTTCCTTCCCTTTTTCTCCCTTCCTTCTTGCCTCCCTCTGTCCTTTGATACTTTTTGGACATAAAAAGCTAGATTTATTCCAG